GACGGACTGGTAGGCGTGTACTTCGGACTACTGGGCGAATAGCCGGGACTAGTCGGCGAATAGGAGGGACTGGTAGGTGAATAGGAGGGGCTGGTCGGCGAATAGCTGGGAGAGGCGGGTGTGTAGCGCGGCGACGATGGGCTGTATGTGGGACTGGCGGGCGAGTAGGACGGGCTGGTCGGGGAATAACTGGGCGATGAGAGACCGTATTTACCGGAACCGGGAGAATAGGAGGGCGAGGACGGGCTGTACGAAGGACTGGTTGGTGAGTACGAGGGACTGGTAGGCGAGTAAGAGGGAGACGTCGGGGAATAAGAGGGACTGCTCGGCGAATACGATGGACTCGTCGGTGAATAAGACGGCGAAGTTGGAGAATAGGAAGGACTGGTAGGCGAGTAGGAAGGGCTGGTCGGCGAGTAAGAGGGACTGGTGGGAGAGTACGACGGACTGGTAGGCGAATAGGAGGGCGATGTCGGAGAATAGGAAGGACTGGTCGGCGAATACCTATAAGTTTTGAGAATAAAAACAAAGTTTTAGTCTTTAATTCATTCACAAAATATTGTCTCAAATAGAGAGCAGACATACGAAGGACTGGTTGGAGAATATGAAGGACTGGTCGGCGAGTACGACGGACTCGTCGGTGAGTACGAGGGACTGGTAGGAGAATATGACGGACTGGTGGGCGAGTAGTTCGGACTCGTAGGCGAATATTTTGGAGACGTTGGCGAATACGACGGACTCGTTGGTGAGTACGAGGGACTGGTGGGTGAATATGTGGGACTAGAAGGTCCCGCTCCGGGAGACATCGGCGCGTAGGCCGGCGAATAGGACGGGGACGTGAGGTATGGCGAGGGAGAGCCGGGAGAACCGGGCTGTGGCGACCAACCGGGCGAATAGCCGGGCGATAGTCCACTGGCGTCCGAAGCCGCCGGTGAAAAGCCAGCGGCTGATGGAGTCATTCCGAGTCCCAGTCCCGGTGACCAGGCCTGTCCGTAGGCCGGTGTGGCTCCCTGTCCCCAGGGGGTCATCGCCGGTGTCATACCAGCCATAGAGGGCGAGTCGGCGCTGCCGAAGAAAATACCGCCGCCTATGGGTTCGTAAGTATAAGTAAATTGTTATTAATATCAAAACCAATGAAAGGTTTTTTGTTTAATAAATAAATTATTTGTTTTAAATATCACTCGATTGTGGCATAACGTACCCAACGCTCCCATTCCCGGCATATTAGTGGGTATTTCTATGCCTTGTTTACACTTATCCGGGTCCAAAAGCATACCGAATGCACCGCTACCTATCTTAGCCAACTGTCCCATAATTATGTTCTCTGAGACACCCCTCAAATGGTCGACCTCGGCGTGAGTGGCGGCGTCTATGAGCACATCTACCGTCTCCTCGAAGGAACACCTCATAAGAGCGCCGACATCCTGACGATTAATGCCGTGTCTGGTGATAGCCATGAGATGTCCTTTGGCTGTCATAACATCGCACAGTAAGGCCAGGTGTCTGTAGTTGACGTACGAGCCGTCGAAACTCAACACGTGATTCATCTCTTTCTCGACGGCTTTCCGCACGGCTTCGATACCCAGAGTCGCGAATATCTCGCAGATATCGTTAGAGTAGGTGCGCACGGGATCGACATACTGTTCCGATAGCACCCGCATTAGTGACGTGCCGTCAGTCTCCAGAAGCCATTCAGCTATGGCTTTGTATTCACCCGTTTCTGTGATTATAATGCGCTTATGATTATCAGTGGTCGGCAAATGCATATACACTTTGATTATGCTTTCGATGCCCTGTAATAGTGAACCACTCGTTAGAATCAATTCATAGTAATCCACAAAACAATTAAAAGATAATATGAATTCAAGACAATTGGGAAAACAGATGCAAAGCAAGTGTTAAACTTTATGCTTTCGATGCCCTGTAATAGTGAACCACTCGTTATAATCAATTCATAGTAATCCACAAAACAATTAAAAGTTTATATGAATTCAAGACAATTGGGAAAACAGATGCAAAGCAAGTGTTAAACCAATGAATGAATGCATGAGTTGTGGAAGTGTTTGAGTGACTGATGTCTGACCTGAAGAGTGATGTCCGACAGCATAGAGGCCTCAATACACCTGAGGAAGACGTCGTCTTCCATTTTGTCGACCTGTTCCTCGTCTTCCATCTTCTCCTCTGAGTTCATAATCCGTATCCGAAGTATGAGTTTCTCCGCGTTGTCGTCGTTGAAGATGCAGTTGAGGTCATCACCAAAACCCGCGTTAATCTTCTCAGCGATCGCTTCCATCGTTAGCTTCTTGTCTGTCATGCGTTTGCGGTCCAACTCTATCCTCAGAAGCCATGGACTGATCCGAGAGGTGTCGAAGTCTGGCATTTCGTAGTAGACGTTCACAAACTCCTGGTCCTCAGCGATAACACTGTTGAGAGGATCGGGATCGTAGTATATGGCGGTGTTTGCCGTCACCTTCCGGAGTGTCGTGTGTTCTAAACGGCACAACACGTCCTTCGCCTTCTCCGCATCCCTGGCCGCCGCACCCGTCAGGAAGACTGTCAGGGATGGGGTCTTAGGCTTCTTCGAGATGTTTATGATTTCCTTCAGTCGAGGGACACCTAAAACATAGGGGAAAGGGTTGTCAGTATACGAAACATTCAAAGAGAGCACTGGGAGACCGTACCTAACGTCACGTTCTTAGCGGACACTCCGGCGTAATGGAAGGTATTGAGAGTCATTTGAGTGGCCGGTTCTCCGAGTGATTGTGCGGCGAGTGGGCCGACCATCTCTCCCGGTTGGACCTGTGATTGTTGGAAACGGGTCTCAATCTCTCCAATCAGCCAATCAAAGGCCTCGGAGGACAGTCTGTCCTGTTCTGTGATCTTTCGCGTGCATAGAGTCGACCTCAAGAGCGCCCGGAATAAAAGCGTCGCATTTTGATTGGCCTGAACGGACAGCCGGTCTTCGCCCGGGACTATAGTCAGCCGTTTGACCAGCGCTTCCACGCCATCAATCACTTTGAGGGGCGAGAGGTCTGTCTGTCCCCTGAGGTTCACGTGAAATATCTTCTGCGCGTTCCATATCATGCGGTTTAGATTGCAGGGAAGGACTACTTTGGAGTCTCCCGTCTGGAATATAGTCCTCAGGATCTCTCTGTCGGCTTTCAGACGATCCCATTCCTGTTCCAACTCAGACAGCGATGAACTGTTGCCCAACAGATCGCGAACCACTTCTTCGGTGAAGACTTTCCGCAGATATCGTTCATTACTGGCGTCGAACTTAAACCGATCCCTAAATGCCTTATCGTTGGGCTTAAGGGTCGGCAAGTTCTGCATCTCAACGGCACAGCCATCTAAGCCGTCCTCTCCATAACGCAATTGAATGACCTGTCCGTTAGAGTTACGTACAGTTCCGTCGTATGTAACCATCACTGACTCCATGGCTTTAATCAGTCGGCGCTGAATATAACCCGTTTCGGCGGTTTTGACGGCAGTATCGATGAGACCTATGGGACGGACGACAAGCAAAACATTTAAATTACAATTAAAAACCAATAATCAATTGAAAACACAATAGCAGTGTTGGACAGACAGACAGACAGACAGCCATACCTTCTCTGCCACCCATGGAGTGGAAGAAGAACTCCGAAGGGGTGAGTCCCGCGAGGTATGAGTTCTCCACGAAACCACGTGATTCGGGTCCGTAATCGTCTTTAATAAAGTGCGGGAGAGTCCGCTTCCGGAACCCAAACGGAATCCGTTTCCCCTCAACGTTCTGCTGACCCACGCATGCAATCACTTGCGATATATTAATCTTCGATCCCTTAGCGCCCGACACCACCATTGACTTGAAGTTGTTGTTCTCGGACAACGACTTCTGAGCCGACGCTCCCGTCTTATCTCTGGCGTCGTTGAGGATACGATTCACTTGATTCTCAAACGTCTGGCGCAATGTGTTTCCGGGGGAGGGCTCTAACTCGTCGTTGTGGGCCTTCTCTATCACTTCAATCACGTCTTGTTTGGCTTTTTTGATCGTCTCTTGAATGTCCTGTAAATCGTGTAACAAATCAATTGTTTATTAATTTTTTGCAATCAATTAAAGCCTAAAATATAGGTCACAAACCGTATAAGTCTGCGGATCGGCGAATGTGTCTCCGATACCAATGGTATGGCCTTCGAGTAGAAGCCAATTGTTGACTACAGTCTGGATGTGTCCGTAAAACAGACCGCAGATCTCGTGACCCATTTCGTTGAACACCACATGCATGAGAGAACCGGCAGCCTTTCCTACGGTTTTCGAGCACACAATACCCGATAGGAGGTCCCCGTGCTCTATGAGAAGCTTTGTATCTCCCGGTGATATCCACTTATAGGGTCCGTCGTCCTCCTCGTCGGGATGTGTGGAGTGGTTGCGTATGAGAGACACCGGACCGGGAATGATGAGAGAGAACAACTGCTTTCCAGTCCACTGGGGTTTGGGCTTAAGAATGGCAGGCATTGGCATCTTTCCGTCCCAAATCGGCAGAAACATCAAGAGATTCATCATTTGTTCCTTGTCTAGAAACACATCCCGTTTTGTCATTTTGCGGACTGCGGTGAGGGTGTCCTGCACGATACCCATCACCGGTTTGTTGCTCTGAGGGGTAATGATATTTCTGGGAACCATACAGAGCTGCTCGATCTTTCCAGAAACACATCCCGTTTTGTCATTTTGCGGACTGCGGTGAGGGTGTCCTGCACGATACCCATCACCGGTTTGTTGCTCTGAGGGGTAATGATATTTCTGGGAACCATACAGAGCTGCTCGATCTCAGCCCTCGTCTCCAGACTCTGCGGGACGTGAAGATTCATTTCGTCGCCATCGAAGTCCGCGTTGTAAGGGGTCGTCACCGATAGGTTCATTCGGAATGTACTCCACGGCAGGATTCGGATCTTGTGGCCCATCATTGACATCTTGTGGAGAGTGGGCTGTCTGTTGAACACTATTACGTCGCCATTCCTTATATGTCTCTCCACTTTATAGCCGTATTGCAGGTGAAGGTCAGAGGGCTTCGGATGGAAGCGGAGGTCAATGCGTTCGCCATTATCTCTGATGATATACTTAGCGCCGGGATATTGATTGTGACCTTTTCTGACCAATTCGTGCATCTGATCGATGTTGAAAGGGGTCACTATCTCGGGGAACGTCATGTTCTGCGCTATACTCCTGGGGACCCCCACCTCATCGATGCGGAGATTAGGATCGGGGGTAATGACAGTACGGGCGCTGAAGTCGACGCGTTTGCCCATAAGATTGCCTCTAATTCTGCCCTCTTTTGACTTCAGGCGCTGTTTGATAGACTTGAGGGGTCGACCACTTTTCTGTTGCGCTTTGGGTATACCCGGGATGTCATTGTCCACGAGAGTGGCGCAGTGGTACTGAAGCATCTTCACGTTCTCGGCGATGATATGAGTGGCCGCACCCGACTGTTCGTTACGGATCAGCTCTGCATTACATTTGACAATATCTGACAGTTTGTGAGTCAAGTCGTCCTGATTTCGGGCGGAACCGAACATTACGACCGCCGGTCGGACGCACAACGGCGGCACCGGTAGTACAGTGACACACATCCAGTCAGGTCTGGCATATTTGGGATCCATTCCTATGATAATAACCTCTTCATCGGTGATGTGTTTGAAGACTTCGTGCACTCTTTCGGCGGTTAAGAAGATCTTCTTCTCCTGCGAGTCTTCATTCAAGTGCTTCCACTCCGCCGTCAACTCCAGTCCCACTCGTCTAATGCTGGGCTGATAGCGACCGCACCCGCCGTGAGTGTTCATCTTCTTCTTGAGCTGATCCGTCTCATCCGCGCCGTCGGCTTTCGTGATGTCTATCTCTTCGCCGCCTAATTATTAAGCGGTTTATAAAAATTAATTACAATTGAAATCAAACTAAAAGTATTCAAAACTTTTTGATCAATGGTTTCCGATATGTGTTAACAAACTATCGCACGGTTTACTAAAATACTAAAAAAGTTTATGAGATTTGATTTGAAGTCCCAGTCAGTGATAATTTGAGTTTCTAATAGGCGTTTAAACTTTGAGAATATATAAAATGTAATTAATTTATAAAAGCCTAGCAATTAGTTTTCAGTACTTTTCCCACTAAATCACAGTAAGTGTCAAAACCAGTGCTAAACTCATGGATCAGTTAACAACACCCAAAGCCGTACAGACCTTCGCATATGTTTTTGCCTTTGCAGAGGTCGTACACGTGACCCAACCTCTTGCGTGGATTGCCTTTGGTTTCATTGATAATCTCTTTGAGCTTCGGATTCGTCGGTGATATCAATAGCTTCGAGCAGTAGAAGCAAACGCATCGCAAAGTCTTGATAATCTGTTTCATGAACCCGATGTGAAACACCGGTTTAGCCAACTCCAGGTGCGCGAAATGACCCGGACACTCGGTCATATTACCAGCGCAGGTCTGGCACCGGGACGTGCGGTCTATAACCCCTT